GATATATAATATTTGGCTATATCTAAAGAATTGACCGATCTACAGGAATTTGAAGATCGGAAACCGACTTATCCCGGTATATGCAGCTTTTTTTTAAATTAAAAATGATCATAATAATCTAGAGATATCTGAACCTATATATATGCGGATTAAATATGCACTTAGGAACTTATTTTTGTCCAGGTAGGCCATTTTCAGCATTGACATGTGTGCGTGCGTGCTCATTACTCAAAACAATGACTTGCGACTTAGTTCGTATTATGCTGGAGCGGGTCACAAATGCTCCTCTGCAACACACAGGTGCACCACGAGATCCAAATAGGTGTGTGATGGGAACACATTGTGGTCCTCACTCCATTCGGCATTGTCTATTTGGTACGGGTTTCGATTCCCAATGCACGCAATTTTCTCGAGATAGCGTGCTTTGGCTACGTTGTCTAGTGAATCAAAGTACTTATCCATACTACATACACTACAGACAGTCGACAAACGTGCATACACTAGCCATTATGAAAAGCTGCGTTTGATTGCTAGAGTAGATGCAGTAACATCGGTGAAATTTCTGAACTCTCATGATTTAAACATGTGTCTATGAACATATGTGTTGCGTGCAATCTTCCGACCTGCTCAATCTACGAATCTGCCGACTGTGTGGCATCAGCATCATTGAACTCGCACTTAAAACCCACGATGGTAAACCTGCTTGCAAAACCGGGCCTGCGCAATCTCATCGAACTAGCAATTAACACAACCCCAGCTCATAAACCTGTCTGCAAAATCGGGATCCACTTACTGCTAATATATATTGCAATAATAACACTATAGCCAATGTAAAATCGGTTGATTGTGCAGATCGGCAGATTACACGCAACACGTGTTCGCTCTTTTTGGAACCGAGATGGCCGACGGCACAGGATTGTAGGTAATATTGCTATTTTTAGTGCAAATCGCAGAACCCTATATGTATGTATGTATTTGTACATGTACATGTACTCCATTGTATCATGTACCCATTTGTAACCTCGTACCATATCGAAATTTGTATCGGTGCGAGTCCACTACTTTGGCCGTATTCCCGCAGGCGCCTCGCTGCCAAGCCGGCGAAGACTGCCAGATTACCAGATTTACGGATTTCAATTAGACATTTCTTAGTAATTAGCAGTGATATTGGACAAACTAATACGCGTTTGACTATAAGGTAATGTACTTATTAACTACAGAAGGTGCCAGTTACTGTAGCATTCGTCAACTTTGTATAATCAATGGGCCTATTATGCCTTTAACAATAACATAAATTTAATATTCTTCACAGTGATTTTATTTATGTCCCAGTCCAAGTACAACATTTTTATTTCTTACATGAATTGTGTGTATCGCATGTAGAATGCTCTAATTTTGAGTGGCGTAAATATAGAATATATACCTATATTGTTCTGTAATGAAAATCTTTTCAAATGTAAGATTACATTCCCATGCCGTTCGTGTAAATAATTTAACCGCATTCCTATTTGTTCCATAGGTAACACACCTAAAGTTAACACCCCAAGATCAGCTAGAAAATCCCGAGGTAGCCAGGCTGTTAATTCCTGTGGGAAAGAAACAAAGGCAAAGCTTCTGGAGCCATGCAAATCAAAAGACACCAATGTCATGGTGGAGCTGTCCGAGGTTAATGTAGTGAAGAAAGAAAAGCATAATGGTCACCTTAAACCGCTGAGAGTGACCCGATCGTTATCGGCAAGGAACGCCGAGGCGACGGCAGAAGAAAACGTGCAACCTCCAGTCGCTCACTTGAAGCGATCGGCATCGATGAGGTTACCTCGGTCTGCCACTCCGCAGAATCGATCTCGAATTCCAACGCCGACGAAATCAAGTAAGCAGCCAGTGGCAGCTGGGAAAGCAAAGCCATCAACGCCTCAGGCCGGACGCGGAAAAGATCTAGAGGCGCAACCTACGGCAGGCAAACAACCTTTGCGTAGGGCCAATTCGCTCATCTCCAGGTCGACTAGACAGTCCAGGTTGATGTGCAAGCCGAGCGAAGTTGCGACCAGTGCGGGAAAGAAAAAGGTCGATGCACAACAGCGGAGCGTGAGAGGGAGGTCATTAGACGTCGTTGGCAGCTCTGGCTCAACTTCCAGGTGATTATTCGCAGCATATATATACGAAAACAGTCGTTCGAATATGGCCGCATGTCGTTTAGTCGATGATAGTGATGTCACGATCATCAATTATACTCGATTATCGGTTGAACAGTGGCTCGAACCAAGCGCTTGGTTATCAAAATCCATAATCAATTTCATAAAAAAAAATCAAAATAAATGTAAAACTTGAACAAGAAAACTTGGAAAAGTGATGAGAATCAGATATATCATCGCTATTTTAGTTCGGGAATCACCCGACATTCGCCGTAGTTACTTCCTGTTGAGGGTCTAAAGCCTAGCCTAGGACACACTAGGGATTTTATACGCTGGCTAAACAAGCACATACATGCACACACGTACATGCACACGACGTTACGCGCATGCAGGCATTCAACACCCCGAGTAACCGATTGTAACCGATCATCGGTTACTTGGGTCCAACCGATGATCGATTACGAAATTACAACCGATTGACAACACTAGTCGGTGACCCCACTCCTGCATTTTATCTCCGTGCGCGAAATGACGTTAATTTGTGATTATCTGATTATGCTTATAGAAAACGCACGGCATCGGTCAGCAGTGCGAAAATGGCGTCACCTGTTCGCGCGAAGATGCCAAAGCTCACGATAGCTAACGCTCCATCGTTCATGAGGTAAGTTCTGAGGTATTACGTTCCTTAATTGTGTGGTGCACGTAAGATGGCCGCGGGTCGGAAAAAAAGTTCAGCGGGTAGAGGACGTCTCCTATCACCCGATTTGATGACGCAGCCATTTCGAACCTTGTACTGGTTTGATCCATGCACCTTGTGGCTTGTACCCATTTGTACATGTATATGTACATGTACATATGTATGTTTATATATATATATAGAGGGTTCCGCGATTTTTCATATTACCCACAATTTAACGGCGCTGGCCATTAGGGTTCCAGAAACCACATAAGCAACACACCTCTGCTTATTTTATTCGCCTATTAAGCAAATCCATCACAACGCCGCTCTCCTGCGGTGTTGTCAACTGCAGCAATCGGTAACAGAGAGAGCCACACAGCTTTTTTAGGCTGCCTAGCGTGATCACAACACAAGGTAAAGTGACCACCAGCCGGACCACAGACGTTTGGAGCATTTTCAATAAAAAAGCAATGCTGAATAAACACGAAATGTATTTACTATCAATGTTTCTCTACTCTCTTTCGCCTTGTATTACCGATAATTACCTGTAAATGCCGGTCAAATGTGACCTGCTCCAGCAATACCAGGATTAAGTAGGAAATTCTACAAATTAAGTTATGTGCATATCTGAATAGATCATTTAATTGCCTTTAAAATGATATATAATATTTGGCTATATATCTAAAGAATTGACTGATCTACAGCAATTTGAAGATCGGAAAATGACTTATTCGGGAATATGCAGCTTTTGAGATAAAGCGTTCCGGGTAAGGGGCCCAGTCGGGGATGAGCGGTCAGGGGCCCTTAAAAAATATTTTTTATTTTTTTATTTATTTTTTTTATTAAAAATGATCATAATAATCTGAACCTATATATCCGGATTAAATATGCACTTAGGAACTTATTTTTGTAAAAATCTCATTTTTGTCCAGGTAGGCCATTTTCAGCATTGACATGTGTGCGTGCTCATTACTCAAAACAATGACTTGCGACTTAGTTCGTATTATGCTGGAGCGGGTCACAAATGCTCCTCTGCAACACACAGGTGCACCACGAGATCCAAATAGGTGTGTGATGAGAACAAATTGTGGTCCTCCCTCCATTCGGCATTGTCTATTTGGTACGGATCTCGATGAAAAACTCTCATGATTTAAACAAACTCAAGTCTATGAACATATGTGTTGCGTGCAATCTTCCGATCTGCTCAATCTACGAATCTGCCGACTGTGTGGCATCAGCATCATTGAACTCGCACTTAAAACCCACGATGGTAAACCTGCTTGCAAAACCAGGCCTGCGCAATCTCATCGAACTAGCAATTAACACAACCCCAGCTCATAAACCTGTCTGCAAAATCCGGATCCACTTACTGCTAATATATATTGCGATAATAACGCTATAGCCAATGTAAAATCGGTTGATTGTGCAGATCGGCAGATTACACGCAACCAAGAGTAGATAATAACACAATCTATAACACAATAGATAATAATATTATCTACTCTTGACGCAACATGTGTTCGCTCTTTTTGGAACCGAGATGGCCGGCGGCACAGGATTGTAGGTAATATTGCTATTTTTAGTGCAAATCGCGGAACCCTCCATATTTATGTATGTATTTGTACATGTACTCCATTGTACTATGTACCCATTTGTAACCTCGTACCATATCGAAATTTGTATCGGTGCGAGTCCACTATTTTGGCCGTATTCCCGCAGGCGCCTCGCTGCCAAGCCGGTGAAGACGGCCGGCAGCAAGTCGACGCTAGAGCTAGAGATGGAGCAAGCTGCGCAGCTGCGACGGGAGCTCGCGCGCCACCGCAAGCAGGCGGCCGACTCACTACGCATGGTGAAGACCTCGAGCGGTCCCGCGCCCGTGCGCGCGCACGTCGCCGCAACGAAGCCCATCGACTTCCAATTCAAGACGGACGGCCGCGTGAAACCGGCCAAGGTCGATGCGGCGAAGGTCGACCCCGTCGGGCTGACTGTTTTGAATTAAGGCCTATGTATAGGAGGAATTTTTAAAATATGAACATTCTGGGCAGTTACTTTCTTTCCAGGAAAAACAAAGTTGATTTTTCGGTTAGTTACGTTACATAGATTCGAAAGGGTAGAGATTTCCAAAATTTGTGGTCATTAGCAATCCCAATACAAATTTTTGACTCTGAATGCTGACAGATAATTACATCCAATGATTGAATGTGCCTGAATTGACTTAAAAGACCCTTCTTTAAATATTCAGTGATAATTTGAACATTTTGTAAAGTTTTGCTAATAATTTCAATCTGAAATATCAACCATGCAAAATTCACTTTTTCAGATATTTTCTTGGAAGTGACGACATCTTAGACATTTTGTCAGTGTTCTTCAACATATCTTCTACCATAAAACACAAATTTCACCTAGAAAATCATGATTCTAAAATTTAGGGTCATGTCCACTAATTCATGGAATTGCCCTTAGGGTTATTGTTAGGGTTAGGGTTAGGGTTAGGGTTAGGCACATTGGTTTTATTGGGACCCATGTTCTCTATCCTTGGGCCGAAAAGGTTAACCATGTAATACCAGAGAGTTATTAGTGTTGACAGTGTTGTTAAGCGATTGTCTTTATTTTGTAGATATAGACCACGAAAATGAAGTTCCATTTAAAATGGAAAAGGGTGGCATCTGCGAAGGTATGGTGATATTGCTTTGCTTTTAGTTTTAATTTACTTTTATGTTAGAAATGACCTGTTTGATTCTTGTCAGTGTGAAGTGTCCATGAAAAGCTAAGTTTTTAAATTGTCCGGTAATCCTAACTCAGTAACTGTGGCATTAGCTAATAAATGTTAACAATAACATAAATTTAATATTCTTCACAGTGATTTTATTTATGTTCCAGTCCAAGTACAACATTTTTATTTCTTACATGAATTGTGTGTATCGCATGTAGAATGCTCTAGTTTTGAGTGGCGTAAATATAGAATATACCCAGGGTTCTCCCTACGTTGCGCAAACGGGGCGCGGGCGCCCCGTTTGGGAAAACTCCCCCCTGTTTGAATCGTTGCGCCCCGTTTGGGAAAACTCCCCCCTGTTTGAATCGTTGCGCCCCGTTTGGGAAAACTCCCCCCTGTTTGAATCGTTGCGCCCCGTTTAAATTCCACCACAATAAAAGTTTGCCAGCGCAGGAATCGA